CTGTGAACTTTCAGCTTCAGACCCAGAAGGATTTTCTTCCGCCATATTGAAGGTTGAATAAGATCGGATGATAGTAATGCAGAAGCAGGTTATTTTCCCTGCTCTGATACCATATTGTTTTTCAAAGATTGTTTTGTATTTTTTTCCTTATGTGCAACGTAACTCTACAGCCAAAATATAAGGAGGCTATCCCTCCTTCCTTAATTTAGGAAAGCTAACAGCAGCTTTAAGAAAGCTGACAGCAGCTTTAGGAAAGCTGACAGGCAGCTTTAGGAAAGCTAACAGAAGCTCACTATACAAGAAGTGCTAAACACAAGAAACAGCTGCTTTAGGAAAGCTTACAGGCAGCTTTAGGAAAGCTAACAGAAGCTCACTATACAAGAAGTGCTAAACACAAGAAAAATAAAAGACAGCCTTGTCCAAGACTTCCAATATGTGGAGACTTAGAGGTTCTCAACTTTAGGAACTTGGAGAATCCTTTCAACCATCCTCACCCAAGAAATCCATGGAGCTAAGAAGTAAGGAATGAAGGCCCTCTCCTTGGGTGATTAGCCTTTGCTTATGCAAAGAGGAATCAACAAAGGTATAAGATTTCTCAACTCACTTTGTTCTTGAGTTGAGTCTTGGTTCACCCTTCTACTAGGCTTTGAATTTTATGGGTAATGTTTTGTTTTTTAGTGCATACAAGCATGATTCCGCCTTTAATTGTTAATTGCATGCCATAGATGTTGCTCAAATGAACATGTTTTTCACAAAATTTCCTTCACTCTTTGCTAGGTCAATTCAAGCTCCAACCTAATCTTGATTGTAGTCTGAAAGATTTTAGTTAGTTATCTCAATCATAAAATGATAAACTGAGGAAACAGATTTTTCACTAACAAAAATGGGGACATAACAAATCTGATCGTAACTATATCGCAGTCTCTTTCAAACCACACTAATTGGCCATTTATAGTCTATTTGGACGAGTGATTTCCAAGTAATATGTAAGCTACATTACTAAGAAATGCTTCATAATACATTAGATAAAGACATATAAATTAGTCAATGCAAAGAATTGAGAGAAATTTGTAAATGACTATGTGAAATGAGTCATTTGCCCCTCGTTCTTTTTTGTTTTTAATTTTTATAGAAAGAGTCATTTGAATTCCTTTGTTTATTGGCTTTGTGATGTTCACTAATACATTTTCGATCTCTATCTAATATCCTGTAATGCATATTTCTTACTAATTTTAACCTAAACCTTCTTGTACTAAAAAATCCCTTGTCCAGACACTCTCCTCAAAGAAAAGAAAGAAAGGATATTGCACATCCACAAACTTTTTTTTAGGTGAGACTCAGAGAGCATGAACTCAATGGGTCACCAAATTCACTATCCAAGGTCGGGCAAAGTGTTAAGTCCAAGTTTAAGACCCTCCCAAATAAAAGGGTCAGGCTAAAACAAAGCCCATTGGGGTCCCGGCCAGGCTGCGAACCATATGATGCCCATGAACAACCAATGCACGGAATTAGATTTTTTTTTTCTTCAGCTGTAAATGGATCTAATGATTGAGTGTTACAAATTCACTTATATTAAAATACGAGTTTGTGATAACAGTATGAATGTGTTCACATCTAACCAAAGTATAGATGAACCCAAAATCAACATTAAACAGATGAGTAGAAAAATATGAATAATGCTTGTGTTCAGCCATGTCAGTTCAAGTTTTTCCATCTATGATTAATGCATCTTTACCATACAAATATCATAATCTGAATCGTTCATTCTTTTTATCATCGTCTAAAGAGCATATCTGCAAAAAATCCTCATAATGAACCGTTCATTTTCTTGATGCATATGAAGAACTAAAAGATCTCCAAATTGAATGAGTTTTTCTATATATGATCTTTATATGATGAAAAGAGAATGAAAGGTTCGAATTGTGATGTTTGTATGGTAGAAGTACATTAATCATAGGTGGATGAAGAAAGTTGAGGTTCCACTATAAAACAAATTGGCAATATGGAGAGTAGCCCAGCCTTTTATAAGCCCATGCAAGGTCACTCCTCCCATCAATGTATGACTCATTTTCAACATGCCCCCTCACGTGTGGCGAATTTTCGAGTCTAACATGTGGACAACATAACGGGGTGACGTGAAACACATGTGGCCGTTTAGCTTCACACGTGGGACAACCTGCTCCAATACCATGAAGAAAGTTGAGGTTCCCCTATAAAACCAATTGGCAATATGGGGAGTAGCACAACCTCTTATAAGCCCATGCAAGGTCCATTCTCCTATCAATTTAGGACTCATTTTCAACAGAAGACAAGACACAAGCATTATCCGAAAATATATTGGTGTACGTGAGTCCAAATTAGAATAAGATTGTAGTTATATCTTTATATTTTATTTCATTGGTATGATTTTATTTCCTAGTCTAAAAGATACATTTGTGTACGTGAGTCCAATTTTTTTTTTTTAGTACGTCGATATATTTTTACACTAAAGGGAGGGGAATTCAATTAAGCCACACAATGGGCAACCTAATTTGGTATCGAATTTGCTATCTACGAGATTCAAACTTAATACCTCTCACTCCCAAGTGAAAAAAAATATCACTAGACCATAATATTGAGTGGCTACGTGAGTCCAAATTAGAATAGGAATGTAATATATTTTTTATATTTTATTTCCTTGTAGGATTTTGCTTCCTAGTCTAAAAGATATATTGGTGTACGCGAGTCCGAATTAGAATAAGAATGTAATTACATCTTTATATTTTATTTCCTTGTAGGTTTTTGTTGTTGGAGAATTAGTTATTAGTTTATTTTTGTTTATGGTTTTCTTGTGGGACAAGGATGTTAGAATTTTCTATATCCTTTAAGGATTAGGATTGTGCTTTAGTTTTCACTATATAAAATAGTGCTTGTATTAGTTAGTTTTAACAAGTCAGTCACGATGTAGTCTCTTGGGATTATGTAGCCGTTTTGACATTCAGTTTGTTTAATAATATTCTTATTATTTTGTAATCTTGTTCGTTGCGCACTCTGATATTCAACTTGGTATCAAAGCAGGTTTGATCATTCGAGATTTAATCTGCTTGTTTGATATCCGTTTCTCTATTGCCTCCATTATCTGTTAGGGTTCTAGTTAGGTTCGTCAAGATTGATTGTTATTGGTTTCTTTTTGGGTCTGGATTAGTTGAGTTTTGTGAAAGTTGTCCGCTTTTGTTTTGGTCAATCTGTATTCGTTTTCTATGTCGTGTTTGTCAGATCGCAGAGTAATGTTTCTGCAAAAATAAGAAAATAGAAGAGAATGGAAGAAGAAAACAGGAAGAAGGATACAGGAAAATGGAAAAGAAAAAGACGTGCTGTTTAAAGGGGGAGGAAAAAAAAAAGGAAGAAACAAGAAAAAGGAAAAAAAAAAGGTTATTGTTTGAGGCTTAGGCCCACACGGGCAAGAAAGAAATATGATTTGTTTGGTTTGTCTGTCGTTCTCACTGCAACGATCGCTCGAGTGCTTGGACTGATGATCATTCAAGTGACATTACGAAAGTTGGATTTTTTGTTTTTTGTTCAAGTTTGTTCGGAAGTTGGAATTTGCATCGGCATTGGCATTAGTATCGGCATTAGCACTGGAATTTGGATTCTTGCATCCGCATCTACTTGTTGGCAAACTCATGACGTGTATCGCCATGAGTTTGACTGGAGCTGTTGGAAAATTAGTTATTAGTTTATTTTTGTTTATGGTTTTCTTGTGGGACAAGGATGTTAGAATTTTCTATATCCTTTAGGGTGCGTTTGGTACGTGAGATGGGACGGAACAGAGTGGGACGGAACCGTTCCGTCCCACGTTTGGTGCGCTAAAATTATGTGGAACGCGCGTCCCACGGAACAAAAATGGGTTAGATTTTGGTTCCCCTCCCCCCCTGGAACGGGTTTTTCCATCCCGTGGGACACAAACTTTATAACTTTTTGGACAACAATACCCCTCTTATTTTTCATTAATTACATTGTCTACCTCCCTTTCTCTCCCGTAACCTCCTCTCTTCTACCCTTGTCTCTCCCGTAGCCCTCCTCTTCCTCCACCACAAACCCAATAACCCAACTGCTAACCCAATCCCAGCAAACCCATCCGACGACGACGACGTCACCATAGCAAACCCTCTTCTTCTCCGGCACCGTCTAGCGTCACGAACATGACCCGTATCTCGTAATCTTCGTCCGTGTAAGTGAGGTGGATCTGATCCGGAACACGACCCGATTCGAAGCTAAGCTCGTCATTCCTAATCTGAGGTGGCGAGCAGGTGGGCGGTGCCGGGGAGGGGGTTGTGGTCCTGGTCGAGGTGGTTGGCGAGCAGGTGGGCGGTGCCGAGGATTAGGACGAAGTCGCCCGATTTGGAGAGGGAGGTTGGGGAGAGAGAGAGTGAAACAGTTTGGTGGGTCGGAGGGAAGAAGGTGGATGCTGCACGGAGGACGATTGAAATCAATTTTGGGATTTTTCTGTGTTTGATTTGAAGAGAAAAAAATTGTTTGGGGGTCTGATTCTTCATTTTTTTTTCGTTCCGTCCTATGCATACCAAACATAACACGAACCTCCATTCCGTTCCGTTCCGTCCCGTCCCGTCCCGTCCCGTCCCGTCCCGTCCCGTCCCGTCCCGTTCCGTTCCGTCCCGTCTGCGTACCAAACGCACCCTTAAGGATTAGGATTGTGCTTTAGTTTTCACTATATATAATAGTGCTTGTATTAGTTAGTTTTAACAAGTCAGTCACGATGTAGTCTCTTGGGATTATATAGCCATTTCAGCATTCAGTTTGTTTAATAATATTCTTATTATTTTGTAATCTTGTTCATTGCATTCAGTTTTTTATTTCCTTGTAGGTTTTTGTTTCCTATTCTAAATAGATTAGGAATTACTGTTTTCCTTGCCCTACAAGGAATGATTGTATCCTTATAAATATGTGCCCTCCACAAGGAGATCAAAGAGCATAACTGAAAACATTCCTATAAGCTCGACATGGGCCGCAACGCCAAACGGGTTGATACCGCCTTTAATTTATACGCGAATGCGTCTTCTGGTTTGATCGAGCCAGAGGGGATCGAACGTCTTTGTTCAGATATCGAAGTTGATCACACAGACGTAAGGATGTTGATGCTTGCATGGAAGATGAAAGCCGAAAAACAGGGATACTTTACCCTAGAAGAATGGCAAGAAGGATTTAAAACCCTAAAGATAAACAAAGTAAATAAATTAAACAATGCACTTGCAGAGCTGGAGAAAACGGTCAAGGGGGAGCCATCAGACTTCATGGATTTCTTTTCCTATGCATTCAGATATTGCTTGACGGAGGAGAAACAGAAGGGCATAGATCTAGACATGATGTGCGAGTTGTTAAATATTGTTTTGGGATGCCAATATCCAGCGCAGGTTGAGTTATTTACTCAGTATCTGAAGATTCAGAGTGATTACAAAGTCATAAGCATGGATCAGTGGATGGGTTTTTACCGGTTTTGCGATTCGATAAGTTTTCCAGATCTCAGCAACTACGATCCTGAACTTGCATGGCCTTCGATCCTTGACGATTTTGTTGAATGGATACGAGAAAAGCAGACCTAGAGCTAACCGATCGTTTTCGGATATGGCCAGGCCACTACCATGGCCGATAGTTTTGCAGACAAAAACAATCAAATGGCCTTGGGAATTTATCTTTCTTCCTTTTCTTTTCTTGCAAATATGAAAAGCTTCCTCAAAGTGCTCACTTTTGGAGTTGTATGTTTGTGATATGAATTTGGTACAGAAAGTTTTGTTGAATGTTATTGCAGCTTCCATAGTTTATCCAAATTTTTTATTGAATTTGGTTCAAACGAAGAAAAACTGAAAGAAAAAAAAAATCAACTTCGAAAATTCCTAAACCGAATTAAATTGCCTATTTATAGTTTGGTTATATATCAAAATCAATCGTCTAACACTAATAACCAAAATCCCTCAAAATACGTTTAGATAGAAGAGGGAAATAAACTTGAAATTTGGATAAAAGTTGGAATTTATAAACTGACATATATCAATTCCCTTGTTTGAATTTATAAACAAAATTTAGAATTTCCACGTGAAAAAAAAAAACTTAGAATTTGAACCTCCAATTTCTAAGTTTAAATTCCATATAAATAAGTGTCATTTCCCAATTTCTATGATTGAAAGTTTAAAAATAACACATTCCGTATTTAATTCCATTGTGTAAGACTATTCGACTTTGATGTCATCTCTCTCTAAGAGAGGTGTATTCAATTGGTTCAGTGAGAGATTTTAATTGTTTTTACAAATCCTATTTAATCAGGATTTTAAGTCATTCTCTGAAAGTTATAGGTGTATTCAATTTGGATTTTAAAGAAGTTTATAACATTACTGGTGTATATTTAATTAGAAATTGATTTTTAAAGTATCTTAAAAAGTGGGGAATTTGAGGGAATTTGGGAGATTTCGTAGTATATTTAAGCCTCTCAAATCTCACCTCCCTTGAGAATTGAGAGAATTCACTCAAAATTTTACATAGGGGATGTAGTCAAATTAGGATTTGATAGCATTTTAATGAATTTTAAAATCTGGGTATATTTAATTAGGATTTTAAAAGATTTTGAAATTAGAGTGTAGTCAAATTAGGATTTTAAAGAATACATTGAAATCTAGGAATAGTCGATTAGGATTTTAAATGAGTCTGCAGATGTCTAGGTGTAGCGAAATTACTAAGGATTTGCTAGGATTTTGATGAGTGATGGATTTTAATGGATTTGAGGGTGTGTGGCATAAATACCAAATGCTATTAAGAATCCAACCCTTACCCCTCAGATTTCTTTTCACGCCAAAGGAACAGTCTTCTCCATTTAAGAGGACCTGCTGTGAACTCAGCCGTTTTGGACTTCCATGGCTGATCGTGAAATCTTTGCAGGCATGAGAAGATGTCTCAACACCACCAACATATTTTTTCTTTCTTCACCGATTACCCAAACATCTCACGTAAATTCCCTTGCTGATGCTTCCTTTCCCTTTAACTACTTTCTATCTCTGTTGTACTTTTATTTGCAGAAGACACCTTCTTCAATTTTGCTTTGGTGCCTTTGAAATGTCACCATTCATTATTAAAACCAATCAAAGTTACTCTTGAAACACATATTCTTTGGCTTGGGTTGGATCAATTCCTCCAACCCGTATACATTCTAAAGTTATTAATTTGTGCTATTACTACGGTATGAAAATATGCAATTAATTAGTCCTTGGACTGTGGACTGTTATTTCAGACTATGTAGTAGAATTCACATAACAATTAGGGTTTCAATTGCCAGTGAATTAGAAAAGGTTAATCTCAGCCACATGATTTCATTAAAAATTATCCCACGGCTTTGCGTGTGATTTCTATTTTTTTTTAAATCATAAGAAATCTAAGAAAGAATTCATACAAATCCATAGAAATCTATAATAGAAATCACACATAAATATCCATATGGAATTCTAGAGTCTACTAAAATCCTTTAAAAGCTGTCATCTAAAAAAAATCCATTAAAATGCTCTGAAATCCAAATTGACTACACCCCCCTTAAGAATATTTAGAAATCAATTAAACTTTATCAAAATCCATGAATTTATAAATCAACTAAAATTTCTCAAAATCTCAATTGAATACACCTCGTAAATGTACCTCCATTATAATCTTACAATTTAGGTGATGAGATTACTTTAATACTTTAAATGAACTTATTCATTTGTTTGCTCTACTAATTTGAGACCTAAATCAAAACAATTTTGAATCGTTATGTTACGGTGATTCATTATGTAATAAAAGGATTCGAGACCTAAACCAAATTAAATAGAGAACTCATAGTGGAAAGCAATTTATATTAAACGAGTTCATTATTAGTACTATAAAGAAAACTTTTTACACTAAAATACATTCTAAGAAGGAAACGCCACATTATAATTAAAGGAAAACTAATGAAAAGGACTTGAAAACTTTGAGTTTGAATGATAAGGACAAAATAAAGGGTAAAGTGAATAGTATCAGGATTGACTTTTTAGTGTAAAAATATGGTTTTTCGTTAAAGTGAACAGTACCGGATGCTTTTCGTTAAAGTTCCCTGTAATTAAACCCGTCATCATGTAAGATCGTTGTACTAGGAAGTGAGCGTGGAGAACACGTGTTTAGGGAATGTGAAAGGAACGTTGACAGTTAGTTGTGCCACCCAACCAAACAGCCAACGACAACGAAGAACAACGCCCATCTCCTACCTTCCTTCCCTTCCCCTTGTACCAAAAAACCAAAAATACAGCTCTCTGAGCCGTCTTTGGTTTGATCGCTCTGGTCAGTCAGTCTCTTAACCGTCGCCACCGTCACCATGTGGCGCTCTCTCTGGCGCTCCATCGACCGCTTCTCGCTCCACTACTTCAAGTAAGTTCCCTCGTTTTCCTCTCTCCAAATTTTGAACTTCTACATTCACTCCCAATTTCATAGATTAGGGTTTTTCATAAATTGGGGGTTTACAACTTGTTAGACTAGTCCGTCATGTATTATAAACAATTGTTAGTAAATTTGAGTAAGAGCAATCAAAATAGTCGAATTTGGGCTCTTTCAGTTGAACTAAATTGAGAGCTATGGTATATGGAAAATAAATCTTGGATGTTAGTAATTTGATGTATATTTGAAGGTATATAGAGTGGTGGGTGAATTTTAATTTAGATACTTGTCCTCTAACCAGATTCAGAACTCGATTTTTGGAAGTGTGGAGGTAATGCCTACATTGTATCCTATGATAGATTGAGGGCATAGAGGGTGAATTTTAGTTACTCGTTCGGTGACCAATTTAAAAACCCGATTTCTGGAAATGTAGAGGTAAGGGGTAACAATTTCTACTGTGTATCTACGATTTAGTAGTAAAGTGAAGTTTTGCCCAAAGAGTGTATCTCATTGTTTCATTTTTATTGTATGTTTGAAGAAAATGTGGAACAATTGATTTATAGGTATCCTCATCATATAATCATCATCAAGTATTTATACTAATACTTCTTTTTTCTTTTTATGGATACAGGTACGTAATCAATGAACTGCGGGAGATCAAAGTTGTGGATGGGCATAATAGGGTAACTTTCGTTTGACTCTTCTATAAGTTCATTTAATTTAATTTAAAGCATCAACCTTTTTCTTCCCTTTAACTCATACATCTCTCTTTTTCCTTTTCCAACTCTCGAACAGGAATTAGTCATAGATTTACTACAGTCCATTGTGGAGCTGGTTACTTATGGAGATAGACAAGATCCATTAATTTTTGAGTATGAACTGTTGTTCATGGTAAAGCTTCTATATGGGCACGTTTTTTTTTCCTGTTCATATTCTAATTGTTATTTATAACTTATATGCAGATATTTTATGGAATACCAAGTTTTAGCAGAATTTGTGCGTGTGCTAAAGATCAGTAGAAATTCAAGAATTGAGGCACCGTTGCTTCAGTATCTGAGTATAATGATTCAAAACATGAATAGTGATCATTCAATTTGTAAGATTCTAAATGCAAATCAATATTTACATTTACTCCTTCAATTTTTAGGTTACCGAAGATTTGGTAGCTGCAACCATGATGGAAAATCAGTTCTAATATGCCTTCTCCTGTTTTTCTATTTTTTGTCTTTCACCAATTGTGTCATTGGTTAAGCTTATTGCTTATACTTATTAGTGATCTATGGTTTTTCTGTTGCAGATTATTGTTTTAGCAACGACTACCTCAACAATATTATAGGGCATAAGTTCGAATTTGGAGGAGATCTAGCATTATATTACGTTTCCTTTTTGAGGTCTCTCTCTCTCTCTCTCTCTCTCTATGTATTTAACTCTTATTTGCTAAAACAGTTGCGATGCAGTATAAGCTTGATTTTGTCATTACTTGTGAAGTTTATTATTCTTGTCTAACTCCTTTGTTTCTATCTCCTCAGAGCAGTTGGCAATAAGTTAAACAAAGATACACTTTGCCTTCTTCTGAAGGTTCATGGGGTAAGTTAGAGTTTATTGTGTAAATTTTTGGTACCATTTGTGATTTACTTATTAGATGCAGTTCTGTTTGCAATGGCAGTCGAAATCGTATTTGTATCCTGCATACCATTGGTAATGGATGTGAAAACATTGTTTATAGTACACTTTCAGTGGGATCCTACTATATTTAAGAACCAATAGCTATAAATGTTTGGTTTTCGGCCTCAAGGTTGAGCCTGTTAGACTACAGCATGTAGGTCGCTTCATGTGTCCCATGTTCTCATTTTTTGTTCTCATTTTTTGTTCTCAAGTGGTTTCAGGCAGGGCCATCAAGGATTGGTCCAGTCCTTTTTCTCAGTTCTCATTGTCATGTGTGGACTCTGGAGAACTGTAATGCATTTCCTCTTTTTGGAGTCTTATCTGTTATTTTCATCATCATCTAGGCTCAAGTGATCTGTTTTCATTTGTTTAATTTTGATTTTAATTTTTATAATTTATGTTGTTTTTGTAAACTCCGCCTATGTCTTACATGGCCGGTCCCAAGCCCGGATAAAGGAGGAGGGGGAGGGCGTCAGGTAGTCGACAGCCGGCACTCCATGATCACGTC